CGTAACGTATTTTTGGCGAGTTTCATAGGCAGCTCCTTTATGGCGCTAATCTTCGTGAATTATTCCCCTCGTCCTCTACATCCTTCAATTAGCCCATTGAGATTCAGAAAGAAGGCGCCTGGTGAGACTTAGCCGCTGTATAGTTCCCCGATCAATGTCAAACCTCACCATCTCACCCCACCGTAGAAGAATCTTTGCGGTATATTCAGTCGGTTAACCAACCGTACGGAATAGCCAGAATACAGTAAAGAATGAAACGTAGGCCTAATTAGAACTTAACCAAATTGTGAAGCCGATTATAGTATAGATTACCTGATTGCAGTTCTCGGTCCCAAACGTATCATCTTCACCACCGACCGTGCTCATTTTCCCTGTGAGTCCTAGAGGAGTTCGCAAGGTAAAGAAACAAAAAACAATAAACTATAAGCGGACCAGTGATTTTGTACAGCAGTTCGCTCAACAGCTGCACTGATGAGAAACGGATTCGCCAGTTGCCGTCGAACATTCCACGTTCCAATGACGGCAGTAATAACGGCATAGCTACCTCGCAGTACATGACCACGATCTTCTGGCCTGCTTTGAGAGCAGTATCGCGGACGTATTCTGTTTCATCTGTCAAACCCTATAAAATAAAGATTATTTGGAAAAGTTACAACGAGAAGGAATGCCTTTATGATTGCCGGAACGATGGTGCTCAAGTACGGAATGAGGTCATCACCGAACACCATCGGCAAGTAGATAAACATCATCAGGTATCCATCACGAACAAACGGTTCCGATGAGTCTGATTCAACTGCATTTACAACCTTTGGTAGAGTAGTTTCAAGACTGCTTTTTCCAAGTGCTGCGATTACTTCAGAAAGGCCTATAAACAGCTACCACTGAGGATCGGCATTATAATCCAATCTCTTGTATTTTTAAAACAAATTTTATAATAATAAACATTAAGCATATATCGGTAATAATATTAACAAAAATTTCCATTCCTAGCGATTGTGCGAATGCCAAAAATTAGTAACTTTTTCTTAGACAGACTGTGTTGTTTAGTAGGATACGTGAAGGACCTTCGGGTTCTGAAAACTGGAAACCGAAGAGCTACTGTTAATTGAATAAAATCTGGCTAATTTGAAAGTAAAGCTGACGGACTACAGAATTCGAACATCGCAGAGGCTGATTCTAAATTTTTGAATGATTTTTCAGTATTTGATATTTGAGCACTTCGTTAGTACAATAGCGATCATACTGAAAAGAGCGTAAAACATGGTTGGTTTATATACAACCCAAACAATATGATTGCTGGATAATTTAACAATACCGACCTTTGGTCCGCATCTCACGGGTATTATTGAAGATACAGGGTTGATTTCCGAAGTTCTTTTACTTGTTCGTAGTTGTTATAACGTCTGGAGCCAGAAATCTAAAAAGAGATGCGAACCACAGAACGAACTTCTGAAATTACCTTCCCTAAGTTGAAGATGGTCCGAAAAGTTAATCATATGACTGACTATGTTGTCTGCACTGTGTGTAAAAAGACCGTATTTTATGCTATTTTTATTTTTCAGTATTGTAGAAAGCAAGCTTTAGAAATCTCACACTCTGCAGTCAGCTATAATCCAATGATCCTGGTTTCCTATCTGTTTCACAGAACCAAAATATACTTTGAACAAAGGTCAAATTGATATACTCTGTAAATAGAAACCAAAACTTATTTTAGAAGAAACGATATTTGCAATAAATTCTGACGAAGGGCACTCGAAATAATCTCAAAGCAAAGCACCAAAAATGAAGAAAAGTTTGTTAAACAAATAAAAAGTAGACCTCAATGTACTTGAGGGATGCGATTGATTTTTACTGTCGCAAACGCAACTGATCAGAGGACAAAGTGATCATCAACAGTAAGCTGGCTCTACTCTCCCAATTCCGATGCTATTATGGTCGAAAGATATCAGTGCAGTTTTATCAATAAATGACGTTGTTCATACTGAACAACAGATGGAAGAAACAGTAGAAATAGGCGACGAACTTCATTCTATCTTTTCTGGTTTTCGATACCGGAATGAAGTAGTGTAAGCACTGTCCCACTGCTTCTAGTCGCCTAGGGGACCAATTAAGCTGACCACGACTACATGGTATTTGAACGCCTGCACTGCATGGATGCAGAACAACACCACTTGGCAGGGCCGAACAAGAACCTGTTCAGACACCTGCAAATATGACACGATCCGTAGGCATATATGTAGAAAAATAAAACCCGATCTTACGGGTTTATTAGCATACTGCTAGTTTCTCATATCGCCGCTAAAATATACAATTCTTTTTGGTTTTCGATACCGGACTAAAGCTGCGTAAGCACCGTATCCTTGCTCTAGCAGTCTAGAGGACCATTTAGGCAGGCCATGGCTCCATGGTATTTGAGCACCTGCAGTGCTTGGAAGCAGAACCGCATCACTTGGCAGGTGAATTTCATTCTATTCACATTATCGGCTACATTTACCTATTTTTCATGTTTCATGCAAATAAGTTTATTTCGAATTGTTTAGAACTAAATGTACTAACACTACGAGCATGGAACTCCAATTTTATGAATTACGAATTATTTGGACACTTTCATAACAAATTTGCTCATTACTAAATAAAAATAGAATTAATATACCGAAATCTCCAATTAGAGTTTCGAATTAAACAGGCAGTGCTGTATTATTAAAACAGCTAAATGGATTTGATCAGTTAATGGAGAAATCAGTCCACAGCAATTCGCTCAGGCATATGATTCCTATTTTGACGACAGCCCGCAGTCCATATTCTGCCACAATGTCGTCATATAGTACAAAAATATAACGTCCAATAGCGTATGCAAAATTTTTCCGTACGGAGAACCTACTAAAGGAGACACGTGTCTATGAGGTAAAAGAAATAA